ACCCTTGCAGAGGGTATTATAATTTTGGTCAAAAGTGTGCAACGCAGTGAAGGAGACATCTCCGACCCTATAAAGTATATATATTCTTGATCAGGATCACCTCCTGAGTTGATATAAGCATGTCCGTCTGTCCGTCTGTCCGTCTGTCTGTCCGTCTGTCTGTTTCTACGCAAACTAGTCTCTCAGTTTTAAAGCTATCGACTTGAAACTTTGCACACACCCTTCTTTCCTTTGCACGCAGTATATAAGTCGGAACGGCCCGGATCGGCCGACTATATCATATAGCTGCCATATAACTGATTGATCGGAAATGGTATAACTTTGGTGTTTTTAGAGTTAGAGAGTTCAAATTTGACATGAGAGCTATTTTTGGCAAAATAATACGACATGCCAAATTTCATAAGGATCGGCCGACTATATCCTATAGCTGCCATATAACTGAACGATCGGAAATGACCCAACTTTCGTGTTTTTGAAGATAGAAAGCTGGAACTTGGTACAGATTATATATTTGGTCAGTTGATCCGACCTACCAAATTTCATTAGGATCGGCCGACTATATCCTATAGCTGCCATATAACTGAACGATCGGAAATGGTATTTGGTAGAAATATCAACTTTCGTATTTTTGAAGATAGAAGTTTGGGACTTTTTTTAGATTTTGTATTGTAATAAATTGGATTATATATTCCTATTCCCATAAGGATCGGCCAACTATATCCGATGTTTGCGATATATATCCGGTTTTAACTGCAAGGGTATATAAACTTCGGCTCCGCCCGAAGTTAGCATTCCTTTCTTGTTTCTTTATAGTATTAGACTGATGTTCTCAGACGAAAATGTTCTCTGGCCACAAACTGGGTGAACAAATTGAAAATCAACACGGGCAACCGAATTTAAAAAGAAGACTTGCGTCTTATAAAAGTATATTAAAATTTTTATTTAAAAGTAAATTGGAAAATTGCTCATTTGTACTAAAGCCGCCAAATTGTTCTCAGTTCTAGCACTTGGGGTGCCCAGAGATATGAGCAGCTGCCTTAATGTCGGCTGAGCAGGCTGAGGAAAATCACAAACAGCGAATTTCTTACGCTTGGTGACACATTTAGCAGCTGAAGACCTCACTTCGTCTTGGACAGCACGACAATTATCACAACAATAATGTAAACCAGACCTACGGGAAATGGCATCCGAAACTGAGGTAGTGAACCCGGGGCATTTCTTATAAATGTATATATAAGAAATAAATTTTTCAATTATTGGAAATGCAATTGGGACGGTATAAATCTACATTCACATATCGCATACGGAGCTATCGATAGTAAAAGTTATTGCCTTCTACTATCGCCCTCCACTATTGCCAACCCCACGCAGTGGATAAACGAAGATGCAAAGGCTAAGTCCGATCTCATTTTGGCAATGTCCACATCGGAACTAAGGTATACAAAAAATTGCGAAACTTCAAACGATGTATGGAAGAAGCTGCATAGCACGTACCAGTCAACGGGGCCAGCACGTAAAGCCGCACTGTTGAAATCACTGATCCTACTAAAAACGAATGCAGGTGGAGACATGAGAAGCCACATAGATATGTTTTCCGATTTAGTAGACAAAATAAACGAAGTTTATCTCATGAATATTGACGATCTCTTAATCGGTCGATCGGACGACTTAATCGGACGATCTCTCTAAGTCGGTCACCGTGCAGCTGAGTGCAGGTCGAAGCCAATAAAGAACCATAATGATAGCATGTTAATCAACGCAGCATATCATACAAACATATCTCTTATCGGTCTCAAAAATTTGTGATCACGTCTTCAATATTCTTTTTTAAGAAGGAGAAAGCTGAAATAATACAGCTACAGGAGGAGAAATAGTGTTCACCGTTCCTCGCAAATTGGACTTATACCAGATAGAAGAACAACTCCAATGCAGTCAGATCGCTGCAGGTAAGCAAAACAGCATCGAAGAATGGCATGAACGTTTCAACCATCTTCATGAGCCGGACCTAAAAGAACTAATATGAAAAAGTAAAGTACAAGGAGCTAAAGTAAACCTCAAGGAAACTCTTCCAATTTGCGAAGTATGTATTCCAGTATCAAGTATTTGCAAAAGCCGATTCCAGTATCAAATTCAAGAGCAAGAGACGTACTAGAACTAATTCACAGCAACGTATGCGCTTCCATGCGAATAAATAGCCACGGTGCCAGCCGCTACTTTTTGACATTTATTGATGATTTCTCGCACCAAAATGGTGCGAGCTCTACACTATCATAACAAAACCTGAAGTATTCCGGAAATTTAAGGAATTCAAAAACTACGTTGACTTTTTGAAAAACCGCTACTTTTTGACATTCATTGATGGTCCGAGCAAAATGGTGCGAGCATTACACTATCAAAACAAAGTCTGAAGTGTTACAGATATTTAAGGAAGTCAAAAACTATGTTAAACGGCGAAATGGAAAAATAATAAAAACAAGAAAGGAAAGCCAACTTCGGGCGGAGCCGTTGATATACCTGATATAGAAGTTGATATACCCTTGCAGTTAAAACCGGATATATATCGCAAACATCGTTTATAGTTGGCCGATCCTTATGAGAATATAATAATATAACCCAATTTATTATAATATAAAGTCTAAAAAAAAGTGGCAAACTTCTATCTTCAAAAATACCAAAGTTGGTATTTTTACCAAGAAACATTTCCGATCGTTCAGTTATATGGCAGCTGTAAGATAAAGTCGGCCGATCGTTATGAAATTTGGTAGGCCGGATAAACTGACCAAAAATATAATCTGTACCAAGTTCCAGCTTTCTATCTTCAAAAATACGTTGGGTCATAAAGTTGGGTCATTTCCAATCGTTCAGTTATATGGCAGCTATAGGATATAGTCAGCCGATCCTTATGAAATTTGGCATGTCATAATGTTTTGCCAAAAATAGCTTTCATGTCAAATTTGAACTCTCTAACTCTAAAAAAATCAAAGTTATTGCATTTCCGATCAATCAGTTATATGGCAGCTATAGGATATAGTCGGCCGATCCCGGTCGTTCCGACTTATATACTGCGTGCAAAGGAAATAAGGGTGTGTGCAAAGTTTCAAGTCGATAGCTTCAAAACTGAGAGACTAGTTCGCGTAGAAACAGACAGACGGACAGACAGACAGACGGACAGACGGACAGACGGACATGCTCATATCAACTCAGGAGGTGATCCTGATCAAGAATATATATATTTCATAGGGTCGGAGATGTCTCCTTCACTGCGTTGCACACTTTTGGACATAATTATAATACCCTCTGCAAGGGTATAATAATCAGGTCAGATAACAGTACAGAATACACTTATAATGAGTTCAAAAGTTATCTTGCAGCCAAGGAAATATAGCACGAGTATTCCGTAGAATATAAGATAAGGTTTTTGTTTAGTTGTGGCAGCGTGTTTGCCTACAACATCCTCCACCTGCGCAGCTCTTGCAGGAGGGTTCCACCGTGGCACGTGCTGCTCACGGAATAGTGGGTTCTGACGAAACCGATGCGGCAAGTTGCTGCCCACACCGGTCGGACACTTTGTAGATATCTCTGCACTTCCGTAACGATGCAGTGCATCGATCAAGACCAGGTGGTGGCCACGATCAGTGACAATGATGCTGCTGATCCTCTTCTTGTGAACTGGTAGCCGGGTCGTGGCTACAGTTATTCCTCCAACGGTGATTAGGAATAAAACATAAGACTTGGAAGAGGTGCCTTTATTCTTCGGCTGTCAGATCAGAACTAACTAACTTAAGATAAGGAGAGCTTAGTCGTAACCCTAACTCGCACAGACCACAGCCGTCGGCCAACGCCCGTCGTAAGACCATATGCGTCGTCCGTCTTCGTGTCCTTATCTTAGATAACCGTTGCATTGTTAACTTATACTCCTCAAAGAAATGGTACAGCCGAACGTAAGAACCGGACCCTTGTTGAAATGGCTCCCTGCCTGATGTTGCAAGCCGCACTTCCTGCGAGCTACTGGGCTGAAGCAGTAAACACAGCAAACTAAATAAGAAAAAGATGTCCTTCAAGGAGCCTATGTGGAGAAACGCCGTTTAAGCTGTGGAACAATCGCATCCCAATTGTAAGGCATATGCAAAAATTTGGTCAAATTGCATATTCACTGGAAAAACGATCGAAGAGTAAGTTCAGCCCAAAATCCAATAAATGCGTATTCGTTGGATACTGCACCGATGCCAAAGCTTATAGGCGATGTGAAAAAACAAATGTTAATTAAAAGCCGAGACGTTGATTTTACAAATCTATTTGGGCACGAGTTCGAAGAGTTCATTGAACCTCAGATCGATGTCAACATTGAGCCGGTAGCAGACAATCAACCAGAAAATGACCAAGATGACAACGAAAGCATACAACCAGAGGATCCTGAGTCAGAAGAAAATGAGACAGACAATAGACATCCAGTAGAACGTGGCCGTGGAAGGCCAAGGAAGCTGTTAACAGATAAACCAGGAAGACCCAGATTAACTTCCCTTCAGTACCAAAATTCCTTACCCCGACGTTTCCTGGCGACATATTCGAAAAACAAAAACAAATTGCATGGGCTTCGTTTACTCAAGTCCGAAACGAAAGGGGAAACGAAACTTCTACCTGCTTTCGGTTTTCGACAATGATTCTCGCAGCTTCTACGTCATATTTTCGGAGCAGAGGCACGCTTCTATGAATGGAACAACGTCAGAATACCCTTTTTAAAATATGTTGAAATATTTATATATATTTAAGATTATATTTAATTAATTTTTCTTATCTAATCATATGGTATATTGAAATGTATTAATGGTGTATTGGCTTTAGGCAAAGCCAAAATGTTCATGTTTGATTATTTTCCTTGTGCGATTCTAATTACAAGGCATTGCGTTGGTCAACTATACCCTGGCACGCGCCAGAATTATCGGTTGTCAATTTTCGGTTTCGTGTTGCCTCCCCCCATCTCTTTGCATATGATGTTCAATTTGCACCAAAAGCACACGCGTTTGTGAAGAAAAGTTTAAGTGACCAATTAAATTAAATAACAACTAAAAACTAATTCTGGTGAGTAAAATTAAAAAGTAATGTGCATATATGTAATTAAGTTATTTATTAAATACCGAGCGGCCGTTCAATATATGTACATATGTACATATATTTATTAAACGGCATTAGCCGCTCGGAAAAGTGCTAAATATTTATATATGTACATATGTACATATATTTATTAAACGGCATTAGCCGCTTGTACATATTATGTTATTATCTATTTATTGTTTATTTATTTAATTGAGGAAATGATCGTGCAATATAACATCGACGGAGTTAGTGGGAAGAAGAGATTGAAGGCGTTTCCAAATTTTTATGGAGTTTTGATCGGTATGTATTTTAATTACAAATAATGTAAACAATATCTAATTTCTATTTATTTTATTTACAGATAGTATATCCAAAGTGGTTCCGGGGACCTCGGCTGAGAAAGTGTTGGGCCACGCTTTGACGGGCATCAAAAATAATAATAATAAAAAAAAAATTAAAATAAGTAAATAAATAAAATAAGTAGAATAAATCTTTTTTGTATATAAACTTTGTAAAATAAATTGTATTTATAGATTATAACAATTAATAATTTCTTATATTAATAAAATTTCTAATAAAATAATAATTTTGGTTGGAAAGGGGGGGGGGGGTGGTGAAAATCCTTACAGTTCCTCAGTGAATCCTTTATGAATCCCACCTATTTCCCACCACCTGTAAGATTCCTTAGAGAATACCCCAGGGATTCTTTGGGGTATTTCCTCAACGTTTCCTCAGAGTATACCCCAGGGATTCCTTGGGGTATTTCCCCAACGATTCCTCAGAGTATACCTCAGGGATTCCCTGGGGTATTTAGTTCGAAATGCTGTTCGAATAACTGCAGGAATCCTGCAGTATTCCTTGAGTTGTTCGAATTCCTCGATGTGAGGAACTCTTCTATGGAAATTCCTTGATGGTTTGTATGAAACATACCTAGAGGATTCCTCGGGTGGCAATACTAGTACCTAGACGATTCCATGAGTAATCCTTGAGGTATGGTACTGAAGGGTTACTATCAAATACTTGCAGACCAGATCGACACACCCAATCAGCAGTTTAAGTCCGACTTAGAAGATTTGTTCTACGAAGCTGCTTCACTTGCAACGAACTCAAAGGAACTAAAATGGAACACTTAAAGGTGCAAATTTCATCGAATGGAAGGAGGCAGTAATAAACGAGTACAGGTCATTGAAAATGAACAATACCTGGGAAGTTGTTGATCGGCAGAAAAACCATTAGGTTATCAAAACGAAATGGGTACTTCGAACAAAATACTTATCTAACGGAAGGGTAAATTGCCGTAAAGCTCGCCTGGTTGCTAAAGGATTAACCCAAGGCAAAGGCATTGACTATGATGAGACCTTCTCCCCAGTATGCAGAATGAGCTCGATTCGAATTATAATAGCTCTGGCTGCGGAACTCGATATGGATCTTCATCAATACGACTTCAACAGCACCTATTTGAATGGAGATATTGAGAAAGAACTTTACATCAACGTCCCACCTGAATTCAAAGAAATCTTGACAGCTAAAGACAAAAAAATGTATGGACCTGAAAAAGTGTGTTAGCAAAAAAGGGCTTTATATGGTCTAAAACCAGTGGTACAAAAAGCTGGATAGTAACCTCAAAGAACTGAACCTTAAGCCACTCGCCGCCAATGAGTTCGTGTAGCTAAAAAATTAACAAAACGGGATCCTGATAGAATCGCTTTATGTGGATGACCTCATAATTGCGACCAATAACACCCAAATGCTTTTACAATTAAAGCGCGAATTGTCCAACAAGTTCCAGATGAAAGATTTGGGTAACTATCGTATTGCTTGGGCATCGAGTTTACACAAAACAAAGACAAAACAGAGTTTACTATGGGTCAGCCAAAATATATCGCAGATATTCTCAAACGGTTCAAAATTGAGAATTGTAGGACCGTAAATACACCAATCAACACGAATGAGAAATTGTCAACTGAAATGTGTCCAAAAACCAAAAGCGAGAAAGAAGATGTTTACAACGTGCCGTATCAGAGTTTAGTAGGAGCCCTAATGTGTTTGGCAGTATCAAGCTCCCTGATATTGCGCTTGCAGTGAGTGCACTGAGTCAATACAATACAAACTTTGGAAAACAACATTGGATTGCTGCAAAAAGGGTATTACGTTACCTAAAAGACACTCAGAACTAGTTCCTGGTTTACAAACGAAGTGGGAAAGATCTTGTAGCCTACAAGTTGTAGGTTACGCCGATGCCGACTGGGCCGCCAACATTGATGATCGCAGATTTTTTTCAGGTTTTGCTTTTAAGTTCGCAGGTGCAGGAATACCCTGGGAATGTCGAAAGCAATGGACGGTTGCATTGTCAAGCCCAGAAGCAGAGTACATGGCTCTGTCTGACTCCTCAAAGGAAGCTGTTCGCCTTAGAAGCTTTCTACAAGAAGTTTTGGGCCACCTAAAGACGACCATCATCTACAACGACAATCAAGGGGCTGGCCAACTTACACGCAACCCCGTGTTCCACAAACGCACCAAGCATGTTGACATCCGCCACCATTTCATCCGAGAGCTGGTAGAAGAAGGAACTATTTCAGTAAACTACATTCCAACGACCGAGATGCCAGCAGACATATTGACAAAGTATTGGAACTGCAATTGGTACAGTATAAATCTACATTCACATATCGCATACGGAACTATCGATAGTAAAAGTTATTGCCTTTTACTGTCGCCCACCACTACCGCCAACGAATGTGTAAAACTTAATCTCTGTTCAATTATATAAAAAAAACTATTATTCATTACTCAAGTTAAATTGCAACATCAATGAACTTAGTAAGTAAAATATATTTTTTAGAATTAATCGTTATATTTCATTAAGATCGTTGAGAGATCGTTATAATCGTTGAGACAAGACTTGACTTGACAAAAGCATTTAAGGACTTCTTGCCAAAGCTTGAAAATAACTGTTAACCGATTCGTGCGGTCTCAAAATAAGTGTTCGTCACTGAGACTTTGAGCAAAAAGTCTGAGAGCAACCGATTGAATTGTTGGTATACTATTTTGCTCGGGATCAGCCGAAGAACAGTTTTTTCTGTTTTCGCTTGCTCTGCTCATTCTCGGACAGTTTGCTCGCAATCGACGATTCAAAAAGTCTTTTGTGCATGTATATGAAGTGTATGTATGTGAAGTTTCGTGGGTTCAACGCGTCAATTGGCTATGTGAATCTCGCATGTAAACATTGACCTTTCAAATTTATTGAAAATGGGAAGAAAAATTAATAAAAAAGTGCATCAATTTTTTATATTTAACACAATTGACAATAAATCGGTGTGCAAAGTGTGCGGAGTTAAATTAGCAGGTGTTCACCCTACAAATTTAAAACGCCATTTGACATCGAAACATGGTGAAATATTTAAAGACTACGACAGCGAAGAAGTAACCGAAACTCAAGTTGTGAAGAAAAGAAAAATTTCATTTGAAACTAGTAAAGACACAATTATAATTTCACTGGTCAAAATTGTCACAACTGTCGGAAAGCTATTTATGTTCTTGGACAGCGAGGGATTCAAAGAAATTGTTGATCTAATTTATAATGCCCTTGGTATGAACGGAATTACATCAAGGAGCATTATGAGTTTCGTTTCCCTAAAAGAACAGGCCATCAAAGACGGCATAAGGGCTTTAGTTAAAGGAAAGCTGAAAGTAAATCTGCAAATGATTCACACAAATATAAACAAAATGGAGATTGTAGTAAAGACATTGGGTATGATCGAGCTCACCCATGCACACACTGGGGAATACATTAAAGAAAAAATTTTGGAAATTCTTGACGAAAATGGCATTGATCTTGATCAAATCTTTAGGTAAAAATGTGTTTTCAGTTAGTGTTTAATATGTTTGTTATTAAAGAAAAAAATATATATACACCGTGTTACTTTTGATAATGGGAGAAACATGGTCAAAGCCGTAGAAATACGTAATGACGAAACGGAGAAATCCCTTTTTGAAGATGACAGAGAAGAGGAAAAATTGATGGGTAAGCTGGATGTTCTGGATTTCGCAAATATTCATCTCGTAAATATTCATCTCGTACGGTGTGCTGCGCACACTCTTCAGCTGTGCATCTATGATATGTATAAGCGGAGCGAGATTACGGAAAAAATTAGTATCTGCCGCAAATTATGCGAAACATTGCGCACTGAAACTTATAGGTAAGAAAAGTTTAATTAGAAATAAATTTATACGTGTATAAAATAAATATATTATATAACCTGCGCAGAAGCGTCTTAATCGAACACAACAAAACTATACCATCGCTCGATATTGTCACTAGGTTGTGTTGATTGATTTGTTATTTTATTGAAGTCGAAAATTGTGAATTATAGTTATAGCTGAATTGTATTTGTTAGTTGTTAGTCTGTATATTTACTTTAAAATAGCTTAGCGCGGAGTGGGAGCGAAAGCTCATATTCGCTCTTGTGCGAATTCGCCCCGCTTCGCCGCTATAGATAAGTTAGGCTTAAGATTAGAAAGAAATACAATCGAATTTATAACGTTGATGAGGCACGACCATTTCTTTCGTTTTCGTTTTTCGCATATTTTTAAATATTTTGCAGCCACCCTTTTTTTTATTATTTTGAAGTGTGAGATAAATCAATGTCGTTATACATTTTGGCGCCCCCGGGTGGACTCTAGTGAAAATATATTTAAAAAAATAAAAATAAACAAAGTGACAGTGACACTGTGTTATTACACACAAAAAATAACTACTGGTATTGGTATACGAACTACCGAACTGAGCGGACGTGCTTTGTCCGAGCTCCGGAAAAACTGCACCATAATACAGCTAAAAAAAAAAACTAAGGTAACCCAATATAAGCGAAAAGACGCTGAACTACAATTTACTAAAAGCGACAGACAAGCTTTTTATAACAGTTGTGATGTGCTAAACCAAAACTAGTGCATTGTTAAAAAAAAAAAAGTAAAAGCCACGCAATGAGCTCATTGAGCAACGATCAAAGGAACGAGCGTAGAAGTTCAGTGAACCAAAGAAACGGCTTCTACTCTTACTTTTCAACCCGCGATACCGAAGTGGAAAAATCGGCGATTATAAGCAACCCGGCTTTACTGACCGTTGAAACCCAAAGGGCACGGTCTTGTTCACCCGCACTGCTCACTCCGACTCCCGCGTCATGGAGTTCGCAGTGTAAAACCCCCCCTCCAATATCGGAAACAAATTTCGCACCAACAACTAGCAGCGCTACAACTTCTGCGCTAGCAGCGCTACACTTCGGCTGAGGAAAACCAACCAGCCCAAGACACCGCAAAAAAACCCAAGCATCCTCCAATCTATATTAGGGAAAAAAGCTCTAGTGCCGTGGTCAACAAAATTGCGTCGTTGATCGGGAACGGTGACAACTTTCATGTTGTTCCGCTTATCAAAGGGAACATCCATGAAACAAAGGTGCAAACCAAGTCTGAAGAGCACTTCCGAATCGTGTCCAAATATCTGGACACTGTACAGAAAAACTATTACACGTACCAGCTGAAAACCAGTAAAGCCCTACAAGTGGTAGTCAAGGGAATAGAACCTGATGTTACCGCCGCGGAAATAAAAACCGCCCTTAAAGAAAAGGGCTTCGCTGCCAAGAATGTTATTAACATTCTAAATAAAGATAAGCCACAACCCCTCTTCAAGGTCGAGCTCAAGCCAGAAAGCAGGTCGCTGAAGAAGAACGAAGTCCACCCAATTTACAACCTGCAATATCTTTTGCATCGGAAAATCACTGTTGAAGAGCCTCATAAACGCAACGGTCCAGTGCAATGCACTAACTGTCAAGAGTATGGACACACACGGTCTTACTGCACACTTCGGGCTGTCTGTGTAGTCTGCGGGGACGCCCACAAGTCCACTTGCTGCACTACAAACAAGGACAGTACCGTGAAGAAATGTGGAAACTGCGGAGGCAGCCATACAGCAAACTATAGAGGATGTATGGTGTATAAGGAGTTAAAAAGTCGCATGCGTCAAGCGACCGCAACGCGCAACCAAAATCCACAGAATGCGTACATTGCGTCAAAAACTACGCCAGACGTCTTCTTCGCCAAAGCTGCGAGATCCTCATTCGGTCCACTAAACACCACCAACGGCTTCTCCTACGCCGATGCTCTACGATCTGGAAGGGAAACTCCAACTCAGCCTTACTCTCAAAGCGCTCAACAGGCCCCAGAACAGCCACACAGCATAACGGAAACTATGATGCTTACCCTCCAACAAAGTATGATGGAGCTTATGTCATTCATGAAAACGACCATGCAAACGCTTGTTCAAAACCAGAACATGGTGATACAGCTGCTCGTAGCACAACAGTCTAAATAATCTATGCAGGCGCTACGAATATCAATGTGGAACGCCAATGGTGTCTCACGGCATAAACTAGAATTACCACAATTCTTAACCGAAAACCATATTGACATTATGCTACTGGTGAAAACGCATCTTACAAGCAAATACAACTTTCATATAAGAGGCTACACAATCTACCGCACAAATCATCCAGATGGGAAAGCCCACGGCGGAACTGGAGTTCTAATCAGAAAACGCATTAAACACCACTTTCACAAAAGGTTTGCAACAAACTTCTTGCAGGCCACATCCATACAAATTCAGTCAAGTAACGGAATCCTTTCAATCGCTGCCGTTTACTGCCCTCCTCGTTTCTCAATCTCGGAAGGAAAATTTATGGACTTCTACAATTCACTTGGGGACCGATTTATAGCCGCAGGAGACTACAAGTGACTCACGTCTAGTGACTCCCAAAGGAAGACAATTGTACAATGCAATTATAAATGTGAAAAATAAACTGGACTACGTTTCCCCTGGAAGTCCCACATACTGGCCAACAGACTCACGAAAGCTCCCAGACCTTATTGATTTTGCAGTGACAAAAAATATACCTCGCAATCTAATAAGTGCCAAAGCAGTCTCGGACTTATCATCAGACCACTCGCCTGTGCTTCTAACGCTTCTTCAAAGCCCAGAAATAACCGAACACCCCTTCAGCCTGACGACGCCAAAAACGAACTGGCTAAAATACAAAAAGTACCTGAGTGCCCACATAAAACCTGCTCCGGAGCTCAACACGGAATTGGACATCAACTACACTACGAGTTCCCTGGAAGAAGTACTCGTTGCGGCAGCTTAAATCTCTACTCCTCTACTCCGGCAGCTTAGTCTCTTCACCAACAGGAAGAAAATGCACAGCTGAGGTACATCCAGAATCTCTCGCCAACAAGCACAAAGTACCCCCTGTGGAGGGCCCACCCAAATCTTGGCGCCCCAATTGAAACGACTACCCCGATAAGAAACTCTTTGGGATGCTAGGCTCGCAGCGACGAAGACGGAGCTGAAACATTCGCCACACATCTCCAAAGTGTCTTCCAGCCAAACCCAGCCTCAAATTCATTCCTTCTGCCAGAAATTCAGCCAGAGTCCTCCCCTCAGCCAGCCGCACCTTCATTCCGGCCGAACGAAATAGAAAAAGTCATAAGAGGGCTAAAACTAAAAAAGGCTCCCGGTGACCTATTGACCCCAAAGATGCTGATCGAACTTCCAAAATGCGCTATAGAGGTCGTCTGCAAACAATTAAATGGAATATTAATCTTGGCTATTTCCCAAAAAAGTGGACAAAATCCATCATTATAATGATACAGAAGCCTGGAAAAGACCACACAATTCCGTCATCATACAGACCAATAAGCCTTCTATCTTGTTTGTCTAAATTGTTTGGAAAATGCTTGTTAACTCGCATAATACCACATCTGGAAGCTTGCAATATCATCCCGGCACACCAATTTGGCTTTCGAAGAAACCATGGAACCATCGAACAAGTGAACAGATTAACATCCGAAATACGCTCAGCCTTCGAACAGCGAGAATACTGCAGCGCCATTTTCCTTGACGTATCTCAAGCTTTCGACCGAGTTTGGCTCATCGGACTCATGCACAAAATTAAAACGTATTTGCCAACATACACCCACAAGCTACTAGAATCATACCTCTACTATAGGGTATTCTCAGTGAGATGCAACGCAGCTACTTCGGGCGACTACACCATCGAAGCTGGAGTTCCACAAGGAAGCGCACTCGGCCCGTGTCTATATGTTTTGTATACTGCGAATATTCCTACGAACGCGCAACTAACAACCTCAACGTTCGCCGACGATACCGCTATCCTTAGTTGATCTAGATGCCCAACGCAGGCAACAACCCAACTGGCTAATCATCTCACAATAGTGGAAAGGTGGCTGTCCGACTGGCGCATTAAAATAAACGAGCAAAAGTATAAACATATAACGTTTACTCTTAATAGACAAATATGCCCTCCGCTTTTACTAAACGGTATGCAGATCCCTCAAGCTAACGACGTAACGTACCTTGGCGTTCACCTTGATAGACGACTTACCTGGCGCAAGTACAATTCAGTCCTAAGGCCCATCTGGACGTATGGCTCCCAGCTGTGGGGGAACGCGAGCAGCAGCAACATAGACATAATACAAATAATACATACATAATACATAATACTAGACATAGAATATAATCTTTACCAAGTTCCAGCTTTCTATCTTCAAAAACACAAAAGTTGGGTCATTTCCGATCAATCAGTTATATGGCAGCTATAGGATATAGTCGAACGATCCTGGCCGTTCCGACTTATATAGTGCGTGCAAAGGAAAGAAGGGTGTGGGCAAAGTTTCAAGTCGATAGCGCGCACAATCAAAAATCTTGAGAACTATCACAGGGGCACCTTGGTATGTTCGCAACGAAAACATCCACCGGGATCGGGCATCCTCGCAGTGAAAGACGAAATCCAGAAGCAAAAAGAGTCATACAAAGAAAAACTGTCTTCGCACCCAAATTTTCTCGCTCGGGGATTGACTCGGGTTTCTAGCGTATCCCGCCTTAGACGCAACGACCTCCCAACCCAGCAATCGATTTTTAGGGCCGTCTAACTCCGTATCAGTCAATATGACTGTTAGTTAAGTTAACAAGAAAGGAAAGCTAACTTCGGGCGGAGCCGAAGTTGATATACCCTTGCAGTTAAAACCGGATATATATCGCAAACATCGGATATAGTTGGCCGATTCTTATGATTAAATCATAATAAAACCAATAAACTACAATAAAAAATCTAAAAAAAAATCCCAAGCTTCTATCTTCAAAAATAAGAAAGTTGATATTTCTACCAAAAACCATTTCCGATCGTTCAGTTATATGGCAGCTATAAGATATAGTCGGCCGATCGTCATGAAATTTGGTAGGTCGGATTAACTGACCGAGGATATAATCTTTACCAAGTTCCAGCTTTCTATCTTCAAAAACACAAAAGTTGGGTCATTTCCGATCAATCAGTTATATGGCAGCTATAGGATATAGTCGAACGATCCTGGCCGTTCCGACTTATATAGTGCGTGCAAAGGTAAGAAGGGTGTGGGCAAAGTTTCAAGTCGATAGCTTTAAAACTGAGAGACTAGTTCGCGTAGAAACGGACAGACAGACGGACAGACGGATAGACGGACATGCTCATATCAACTCAGGAGGTGATCCTGATCAAGAATATATGTAATTTATAGGGTCGGAGATGTCTCCTTCACTGCGTGAACCTACCAAATTTCATTAGGATCGGCCGACTGTGTCCTATAGCTGCCATATAGCTGAACGATCGTAAATGGTATTTGGTAGAAAAATCAATTTTCGTATTTTTGAACATAGAAGCTTAATACTTTTTTTTTAGATTTTTTATTTTAATTAATTGGTTTTATTATGATGTAATCATAAGGATCGGCCAACTATATCCGATGTTTACGATATATGTCCGGTTTTAACTGCAAGGGTATATCAACTTCGGCTCTGCCCGAAGTTAGCTTTCCTTTTTTGCTTTAGATATTTTATTGTAATCAGTTGGTTTAAGTATGAAATTACGCGTTTTGGTTTAAAAACGCGTAGTTTAAAATTACGCGTTTAGGAATTTTTAAGCTCAAAAAAGTCACGATAAACGGTTTTTTCCAAATAAATCAATTAGTTTTTGAGGGTGCTACAAATACTTCAAACACGGTTTTGTGTTATATTCGACCTAATAAACAATTCTACTAGGTCTCTTTCAAAGTTCCTCAAATTTTTTTTTGTCGCACTGTGTTATTTACGGTTAAAGGCTACTTACTTTGAAATCCAAATGTCATTGTAAAAACTTTCAATAAGACTTCGAAATTTGTTTTGATTTACGCGTAAATGAATAAGCCTTATGAAGTTTAGAGCTCCCATAAATGTAGTACAACAGTTTTCCGTGGTCATTATAATATCAGAAAGATGTGTCATCAAAAAACCAGTCTGATAACAAATTGTAATACCAACAGATCCAATGACATACCACGCCCATACTGTGTAAGTCATGTGCAAGAAAGCGTTTTTCGAAAATAATCCGTCACTTGTATGTTTTGACAAAGGCCATGAACCGTTTAACTTTAACCAAGCACATTGAGGTGGCAAGCGAAGGTTTTTTCGAACGTCTTTATGTGATGGAGGAAAAAACATTTCTGGGTAAAATATAATTCATTTTCTACACACAACCTTATTTTATAAACAAAACTTAAAAGAGAATTTTTTATTAGTACAAATTACCCTTTTATTAGTACCCTTTTTATTAGTACAAATTGCTGTAGGCAATCTAATATATACTTTTAATTTATATCAAAAACAACAGCAACCCTTTAGGCACGAATAAAGTTACTTCTTTTATACGTTCCCAAAAGGGTAGAAACATGTAACCAACAAAACAGGCCGTTGTTGGCCGGAGCCGATGTTCATACACCTGTCTGCGACCAAATTGGTCAACAATCACACTAAATTGTCTCTCCAACACATTTATGACATTCTCAGTTGCTTAGTCCTATGATATCTATGTATGTATGTATGTATATTAGGGTGTCTCAAGGTAACAGGTGGGTGACAGGTTTTTATACCCTTGCAGAGGGTATTATAATTTCTCCCTATAACCGACCCTATAAAGTATATATATTCTTGATCAGGATCACCTCCTGAGTTGATATGAGCATGTCCGTCTGTCCGTCTGTCTGTCTGTCTGTTTCTACGCGAACTAGTCTCAGTTTTAAAGATATCGACTTGAAACTTTGCACACACCCTTCTTTTCTTTGCACGCAGTATATAAGTCGGAACGGCCCGGATCGGCCGACTATATCCTATAGCTGCCATATAACTGATTGATCGGAAATGGTATAACTTTGGTGTTTTTAGAGTTAGAGAGTTAAAATTTGACACGAGAGCTACTTTTGGCAAATCATTATTACATGCCAAATTTCATAAGGATTGGCCGACTATATCTCATAGCTGCCATATAAATGAACGATCGGAAATGACCCAACTTTCGTGTTTTTGAAGATAGAAAGCTGAAACTTAGTACATATTCCATTTTTGTCCAGTAAATCCAACCTGCCAATTTTCATTAGAATCGGCCGACTATATCCTATAGCTGCCATATAACTGAACGATCGGAAATGGTATTTGGTAGAAATATCAACTTTCTTATTTTTGAAGATAGAAGCTTGGGATTTTTTTTTAGATTTTTTATTGTAGTTTATTGGTTTTATTATGATTTAATCATAAGAATCGGCCAACTATATCCGATGTTTGCGATATATATCCGGTTTTAACTGCAAGGGTATATCAACTTCGGCTCCGCCCGAAGTTAGCTTTCCTTTCTTGTTTTTTTTTTTAATTTAAATCGTATACCCTCTATTTTCTTTCAAAATGACCTTATGAACATAGAAAATAAAAATTATGGCGATTGAATCAGGACAACCCGTGCGGACTTGATAGCGAAGTTATAAACTCTGGCATCTCTTTTTGAAAATCATTTTTAATGAACTCCGCGCGCTCATTGCGTTTTACGGTGGGAATTCTTTGAATTGAGGACTTACTTATCGGAAACTCATCAGTATTATATCCAAGTGCCTCAATAGTAGCTTCAAGAATGTATACAGAGTCTCTGATACTTAAGTGACACCTAGGTATACGATCGTAGACACGTAGATATCGTAAGTATACGCGTTTTTTCCCAGTGTATAATGCACTCACGAATACTGAGATTTGCACTTTCATTTACAGTTAAATTCACTTGACGAATGTTGTAGAATAAAACTGCTAAGACTTGTTTATTAAAAAGAAGTTTTGAACCCGTTATTTGGTGTTTTGCATCACCTATTAAGAATATATTCTTTTAAGCACTGCGTAATTCCACTGACATGTTGACCGAACGAAAACTATGTGTTTGATGTGCAAATAAGTAAGTCTAAGGAATGTGCCGAAAAGAAACTGCACAATCGTCCAAAGCTCGCAGTGGGAGCTCGATCATGCCATACGATTCACCGTTAGAAAGCTCTATAAAGCCAGTACATAATAATTAAAAATACCAGACACATTGACCGTTCGAACGTGTCGACCGTTGTAATCAAGTATTGACAAGTTAAAATGCAAGTCGGAACGGGTTATTTTACCCTACCCACTCCGTTTTGCGTTTTAAAATTGCGTTTTAAAAATTTTCAACATCACTCAAACAAATTTAGAGGGTGTGTGAAAAAAAAAAAATTATGATTTTTTGGGACACCCTAATGTATATAGAGAGATGGGAGAAGAGTGTGAGTGTGACCCTTAAAACTAAAAGATTAGTGCACGTAAAACAATATTTATGAACATATTTACGATATTTACGATATCGACGCATTTAGTATCGTATTTCATTTATCATTGGATAAAAGATTTGAATGCCAAATTTTTATTAAAAATCTTGATGAATATTATAGGTAAAAAAGCTAGTCTTGGCAAAAATTAAAGATTATATTATTTTTTTTATTACTTTTAAAACATCTGTCAAAAAAATCTACAATAAAGCTGCACTGTACATTTGAAGAACTGCGTCGATTTATCGATTCAGAAGGTTTATAGGGTTGGGAATAAAATGCTTCATAGGAATGGATTTTTATTATCAATTATTGATAGTAATATTAATAGATAAAAAGAACGGAAATCTAGTTTCGGGGGAGGCAAAGTTGATATACTCTTGCATTTAAATGGATATGTGTAGATTATGCTATACACATGTATTGTAAATGTTATCAGATAAACATTTTAAATATAAGATATTGTTCAACGGCAGCAAATGATATAATCGGCGGATCCTGGACGGAACGTCTAGAACTCTATAATATCTATGCAAATACCTTATGCTCCGACTATAACCTATAGCTGTCATATTACTGATTGACCGAAATGCCAATTACGAGGGCTCTTAGCGATATGTCCGAAAAGAGCTGATTTTAAGTGTTTTCTGCCACATAAATAAGAGCATTTTTTGAGCAAATTTAGGGGTTGCTCCACATACACTCTAAAAGAGCTCATATGTGTGAGCATATTTGGAGCTGCGGTAAGTAAGTACAAAGTTAAAACCTCGCTTAAAATAACGATAAATAACAGTTTTCTTTAGTTCGAACATTAAAAAAGTGTAAGGTGGACGTGCTTGAAAAAGTGCAAGAAAGTGTTTCATTAAGTAAAAGTTAATTAATTAAAAGTGTTTCAACTGAAATTGTAATTTAAAGACGTCTGAACCTTCGGATGACCTTGAGATCAAATCTCTTCGATATAAATTGTCTAATTGGGCTCTTGCATTTATTATTTCCTGATCGGCTTTAAATGTGCTTCGCCGTACGTATATCACCTGCGCAAGATCTAAAGAAGCACATTAAAAATAAAAAATAAACTGAACTTAAAAATAAAACACCTAAAGATGGTTTTTGTGTCCTAATGAATGGCGGAAGATATATGTATTATGGAATTGCTTCATGTTAATATAAATGGGGTTCCACTTTTTAAAAGTTCTAACATGCAGGCATGGCCGATTTTAATAAATTTTGATAGTACTTCCCTGTATTGCTGTAGGCGTTTTTTGTGGACTGAGCAAGCCAAAAGATATTAACGAATATCCTAATTTTTTTATTTCTGAACTTGTTCTCTTATTTCATCTGTTTTTGTCTATAACTCAAATCATTTCGAAGTAAAGGTTAGAGCTATTAATTGCCGCTCGCCCGCTTTTGTTCTTGGATGTAAAAGTCATAGCGCCTATTTTGGTTGCCAAGTGTCATCAACTTCCAAAGAAAAAAAAAAAACAACTTCAAGAAAGGATACCAAGAACGGATGACCAATATAGAAATAGAACACAAGTCGCACACTATAACATTCTGCTTCCAATTCAAATTGAAGAGGTTTCATGGGACATAGTGCGCCAATTCGCATTCGATTATATGCCATTATATGTCCATAAATGCCCCAGACCACATATACATTGTCGATTCCAGAGTCTTTAAAATTAATAATTTTGTGGAAGCAAAAAACGAGGTATTTGTAAAATCAAATGAAATTTTACCTAATGAAGATCTTTTTATATTACCTCTAAAATCAAACCTTTAAGGCAGTGGTCGGCACCCTAATACATTGATATGATTTTACCGCATTAGTGTTAGTAACGAATAGAAGAAAGTAGGCTGTGAGCATGACGTTTCACACATTTATACTGTGTGTGTTGCAGAGCTTGGGCAAAGAAATTTCCTATGCCCCCGAGATAGGGCCGTGCCGACCTCTGCTTTAACGTTGCACGAAAAGCTATTACTTTTCATCTTTTGTCACCAGCGTGCATAATCCATTAATTCATAAAGAAGGATTTCACTGAACAATTTTTAAGCACCGGCGCGCATTCAGATTAATCAGTTTTAGCCAATGAAGCTGCCTATACTCAGCTAACTTCTAACTATACGAATCCATCCGCATCAAGTAAGTATAGGTTTGAAAATTTATTTTCAAAGAAAAATAAGTAATTTTTCCCTTATTAGATATTTATGTTTTAGCTTATTTACGACCAACTGCAAAAATAAAACAAAAATGTATAAGGTAAAGAATAAAGGTTTTTCAATTTACAGACTAAACAAAATATATTTTTATACCCTTGCAGAGGGTATTAAAATTTTGGTCAAAAGTGTGCAACGCAGTGAAGGAAACATCTCCGACCCTATAAAGTATATATATTCTTGATCAGGATCACCTCCTGAGTTGATATGAGCATGTCTGTCTGTCCGTCTGTCTGTTTCTACGCGAACTAGTCTCTCAGTTTTAAAGCTATCGATTTAAAACCTTGCACACACTCTTCTTTCCATTGCACGCAGCATACAAGACGGAACGACCGGGATCGGCCGACTAGCCGCCATAAAACTGATTGATCGGGAATGCTATTACTTTGGTGTTTTTATAGTTAGAGAGTATAAATTTTACATGAGAGCTATTTTAGCTATTTTTAAAATAATATCACATGCCAAATTTCATAAGGATCGGCCGACTATATCCTATAGCTGCCACATATCTGAACGATCGGAAATGGTTTTTTGTAGAAATACCTACTTTGGTATTTTTGAAGATAGAAGCTTGGGAGTTTTTTTTAGACATTTTATTGCAAAAAATTGGTTTTATTATAA